TTATAAGAACTAATTCTTCTTGGGCTGGGGCTAGAATTATTTGCACATCTTAACAACCACTTTGACAGAAGAGCCCTCCCCTCAGCTTGGGTCAGGTTCTCATGCTGGGGTAAAAAGAAGACTGATTATTTTCTGTTATATAACAGTGTTCTGCGCTTACTTCAAATCAACTCCTACAAGGGTGCCCAGTGAACTTTAATAGAAATTCAAATACTAGGGTGTGAGTGTGGGGCAAATATGTCTTTGAGAAGGGTAAATTAGGTGGGGCAACCTGCCATTAGAAAAAATACTTAACATTACTTATCTATATAAGTAGATGTTCTCCCAAGGGGAGAATATGCCCAGTATTAAATTTCTAATTGGACACTTTTGAGCTAGTTTCTACCCAGCCCTTGGTAACTCAGGTCACATGCTATAGACAACCAAAACTTTAGTCTCTGTCCTTTCAAGATGCACAAGATCTTTCATAGCCTACCCAAGAAGACCCTGGTTGGGCACTAACTTTCCTTTGAACTTACCTGTAGATTTAAGGAACTAAAATACTCCCTTAGACTTAAGGATGAAATGACCTAGTATGAGAGGAATCTGATGACTGCTATACCCAAGGTTATGGATTTGGAGGTCGTTGACCCTGGTTCAGATCTCTTACTCTGAGAGCGTCCAAGGATTTGTGGCTTGGGATTATAACATAATTGCTATGTTCATGCTTTCTTTGTATTTATATGCTTAGTCTGGCAGGCACGCTTCTGTCTTTGTGAATGAGCCTTATTGAAAGTTTTGCCTGTCTCCAATCTTCATTGTTTGCATAAATACTGTTCAGTTACTTGAGTTACTTTTGATCTGTCTAGTCAATAATTTATGTATCTTGGTCCAAAAATTTGCCATATATATATATACTTTCCTGTTTTATTCATTTTTAACAGTTTTGTTGGCCCATCTGCCACATATAATACAATTCAATAGCTTAGTCATATCAATAAGAGTTATATAATCATTACCACAATCAATTTTAGAACATTTTCTTCTTTGTACTAATTATTACTGCAATTATTGTTTTTTAATTGTTGGAAAATATGAACAAAACATTCTCCAATTCAACAACTTCTACAGTGCCATTGATTACTTTTCTTGTTGTACAACCATTGATATACTTTTCCAAGTTATTTCATCACCATTAACATGACCTCAATGCCCATAAGCAAACAATTCTTCCTCCTTCACCCACGGTAACCACTGGTCAACTTTGGTTTCTTTATTTCTATTTTTTAGTAGTTTTCTGATATAGAATTCACATATATACTTCTATGGTTCAGTCACTTTTAAAGCATTGTATATACATCATCACAATCAGTTCTAGTGCTCCCTCCCGACTCCCACATTCATTGTTTTCTTCCAAATTCCCTCACCCTCTCTACCCTGCCTGTTTATTTTGCTATTATTACGGTTTTTCTTTTTGTATGTTTTGAGATCCAGGAAAGGTAAATCTATAGAGACAGTAACTGGATGAATAGTTTCTGAGGGTTATGACAGGGGAGGGTGGGGAAATGAAGGAGCTAATAATAATGATTATAGGAAAGAAGAAAATGTCCTAAAATTGCTTATGGTGATGATTGCACAACTCTTTCATGTGTATAACTACTGAATTGTATGATATATGAATTATGAATCATGTCAATGAATTTTAAAGTTAACAAAACCCACAGAAATAACACAATAGTTCTTTTGCATTGTGGTATCAGTCACTCAATTTTCCATCACAGCTGCCCAAGGGACAATTACACTGGGATCATCAGGCTCAACATTCTCAGGGTGCTGTCCCTTTTCTCTGAGAAAATCCATCCAATTAGACACCGCTGAGCATAGCCCCTTCCTGAGAGAAGGCTGAGATTCAGGGAGAGAGGAACAGACACAGCCCCATGCACTGGCAATATTAAGTGTGACAACAGTCACACAGAACAGAGCAAGAAGGTAGACCTAGTATATATTGCAGAGTTGATGTGTTGGGCTATGGTGGCTCACGGGTGCCATATTTTCCTAATCTCTGGGGATCATTACAGCACTGCCCTATGGTTATTTTAAAAATACTTCTCCATCAAATGGATGAGTGGAGTGAATGTGGAAGGAAAACATTTTTTAAAACCGAACAACCCCCAAAAGAAAAATAACGTATCCTGGGGCCACAATGGAGAAATAAAATAAATATTCATTCTTAACTGTTTCATACTCCCTAAGATCAAATGGTCCCACAGATGTCTCAATTTTACCACTGGTCTAAACCTCAAACATCTCCTGTTAATGAATGGCTCAATTTATGATTATAATCCTCAAAATGGCACAGAACTGAGAGGTGAAGTTTATAGCCGAATCCATTGTTCTTAGGGGGCAGATGACAAGATCTATAAGCCCAAGAAGTATTGCTACTACCATATAAACTAAGTACAGTTGATCCGTGAACAACACAGCTTTGAACTGTACAGGTCTACCTATTAGCAAATGTTTCAACCTGTTGTTATTTCAGTGAGTTCTAGTCCTGCAATTTAATTAGTGCAACCCTTGAGCTTACTGCTAACAGCAACGAGAAGAAAACTGCATACAAGTGAACCCGCCAGTGAACTTACTGCTAACAGCAACGAGAAGAAAACTTCATACAAGTGAACCCGCCAGTTCCAACCCATGTTGTTCTAGGGTCAACTGGAAGTTATAAGCAAATTTTCAACTGCTTGAAAGGTTGGTGTTCCTAGCTCCAGTGTTGTTCAAGTTTCACTAAATGTAACTAAATGGCCCATGTAGTAACAGTTGAATTGGTGCATGCTTTGCTGCATATATTCTCAGCAATGAAATAAATTTAAATATATCTAAAGTTTTAGATAGTCCTAAATCATAATATTTAGGCACATTTTTGAAAATGAGATTCAAAACTGTACTATCTTCATTGGGGCTCTCTTTCCTACGTGCTGTACTTTCTTCCTCACAATTCAAGTGCTTTGGCTTTTTCGGGTGCAATAGCTTTTCCAAATATCAATATTTATATTAAGTAGCTGCTTTGAATCTTATTTTGAATGCACATAAATACCATAATGTAGGACTATCTAAAACTTATTTTAGATACTTATTGTGTTGTTGCTGCGAATACATGCAGCAAAGCACCCACCAATTCAACGGTTCCTATGTGGAACACTCAGTGACAAGTCTTTGAGTTCTGTAACCTTTCTGACCTTCTCTGGGCTTTCTTCCCTCATAAAGTCACTGCCCTTGAAGGTTCCTGTCCAGTTTTTTGAGTTGCAGTTGCCAACTTAATCCTCTTTAGATAGTTCTTAAAAAACGATAATGGAAAAAAAAAGCAAAAATCGCATAATGCTCAAGGCAGATTTTTTTTATGAGTTAAGCTAAACTGTTGTAGGTTTTAACAACACTTCGAGGGGTATTTTTGGTTTCAAGTTTACCCTAGGGCAATGGTGTCCATGGTTTGTCACCCTCCATGGCTCCAGAAAGTCTAGAATCCATGAGAATTTGAAATTCTGTTCTGCATTTTGCCTCTTTTGATCAAATTGTTCAGTAATGGCAGCGGAGCACCAGCCA